TCACACCAGCTGCCCCGCACTGCTCCCCCTGCCCCGCACTGCGCCCCCCTTATTTCCCTCGGTCGCGCTGCCGGGGTGCAGCTCTGCTGAGAGTTTGGTCCCCTCGGGAAGGGACTGGGCCCTGGCTGTCTGGCCTGGCCCTTGGGCTGGCCCTGCCCAAGTCTCCTCTGCCTGCTGCCGGGGGATTCACCTTGGTGCACAAACCCCGTGGTCTCGTACCTGGGCTGGTTGTCTGCTTTTCTAAGTTGGACTGGGAGCATTCGTTCTCCGTGGTCGGATACATGGAGGTGTGTGTCCCCCAAAATCAGGAGCAAAAAGTCAAGAGAAGTGGGGAGCGCCTTGTTGGGGGGAGCACTGCGAAAGGAGGAAATGGGTGGGCAGTTTGCTGCTGTCAACAGATTACCAGTTTGTCTCAATCTAGCTGCACTCTTAAATACTGTGAAACCACCTAAAAACCCATTACTGCTTTGTGCAATGTAGGCCTTTTCTAAGTCTGCCTATTCCTGGGTTGTCATGGAGACATGCAAAATAAATGGAGCTGGAAATTCCCAAGGAAAGAGCGGGGGGGATCCTTTTCAGATAAGGGTTGATGGGATTTGAGAGGTATTTTGGAAATCCAGGTGGTAGCTTCTTGCTGAACGCAAACTCGCACGAAGTCTAATTGCTGTCTGTGGCAGCCTGAGACGGTGCCTTCCATAGAATTCCCGAATTGATTTATCAAAAGAGCCATGTGTACATTTAGCCAAGTAGGTCTCTGTTGGTTTTCACAAAACTGCAACCATCTATTGATACATCACTGAGCGCTAAGCACCAAAGAGGACAGCACCTCATTGCTAAGCTTATTTCTCTTTGTTTTAATTAATTGCAGCCATGCACGAGTCTGGAAGCTTTGCAGCATCACGTTCTAGACGTGAGAAGACGTCTAGAAGAGGCCAGCAAGAAGCACTGGAACGTCTGAAAAAAGCCAAAGCTGGCGAAAAAATAAAATATGAGGTGAAAATTCCTCATCTCTTATTATTTGTAATAAAAAACGAATATGAACTGAGATGCTTAACTACCCTTTATATGTATCTGAAAGTTATGGGAAACAAAATCTGCCTTGCAGATCAGCTTTTGTTTTTTAACAGTGTATGTATTTCAGAATGCAATCGTTTTGCTGCTTTCTGGTATCATTTATTTGTTTATTTCTGTTTTCTGACTAAAACTGTTTTAGTAACTGCAAGTCAAACGTGCTTCATATTGCTTGGTAACTATCCCACAGGAAGGGACCAACTTTTAAAATTTATTTGCGTAATAAATGTCACAATAGGAAGTGCGTTTTGTTTTAACTTCAGATGATTTTAAACTTTAAATGAATTTGAAAGCTCTGCATGTTCACGATCCATTAATATTGATGTCCTCTGTTTCCACAAAGAATCCAAAATTGAGATTTCAAACTGGTAGGACTGAAATCTGGCAGTGTAACATTGATACTGCCTGATTAATCTTAATACCAACGGGAAGTGACCTCCACATGGAGGTGGATAAATCTAAAGAAGCCTGAAGTGCATAGATCATTAGCTTTCAAATTCACGCTGAGGCGCAGGAGAGCATCTTCAGCATTATGCTTGGGCACATCAAATCAGCTTCCTTTTCACTGAGCTCATCTTGGTGTTTGAGAGTGAAGACAGAGGTTAGAAGGCTCCATTGGTAGGATTTCCCCCCCCTTTTTTTTTTTTTTAATGTGTAATAAGCAATAAAGCCAGTCAATTTCAGATGGAATTTCTGTCAGTGCTTCAATAGATTTTGAGTTTCAATATACTGTGATATTTTTAAAATTGATAAATTGTCTCTTGTCACTGCCAAAAATGAAACTTAAACTGAATGAATAACTGCGTTTACTGTTGTGACCAGTGTAACAGTGTAGGAGAATGTGCATTTCTTGGGACCTTTTGTGTTCTGACTGATGACCTATATTAATAAATAATGGTCTGGGAACTGTTAATCCTTGGTGTACCTTAACTGTAGGTTGAGGAGTTCACAGGTGTTTATGATGAAATAGATGAGGAAGAATACTCCAAGATGGTCAGAGAACGTCAGGATGATGACTGGATTGTTGATGATGGTAAGTTAAGATTCATTTGGAGTTATTTTGATTATAGTGTTATAACTCAATTGGGCTTCATAGTGTTCATGATTTGAGGTAAGTTATTGTTAGTATATTCTTACAAGTTGTTTCAGGAGACCAGAACAAGACTTGTTTATGTGGAAATGAGTCTTGTGCATCGTTTGCATAGTAGTGTATTATGGTGGTAATGAAAATATTTTTGCGTTAAGAACCGGTTTTGAAACTTTATTTCCAGTTATCAGGGTCGTAACTTTAAAAAAGAAGTACTGTAATTGATAATTTCTAATCAAACACATAGTAATATATTTTGTATAATAAAAGATACAGCTGAGAGTGCTGTAGTTCTGAACACTTTTGCGTTTGTAGCTTTTGCTCTAAATTGAAGGGGAAAAAATGTTTTTAAGTTTGTAAAAAAAAAAAAAAAGGGATTATGAATATATCTAGAAATACCAGAAGACATAATTTAAAATGTAAATTGTTAACAATTTCTTTCCTTGCAGATGGAGTAGGTTATGTAGAAGATGGAAGGGAAATCTTTGATGAAGACCTGGATGATGATGCTCTTGGTTCCAATAAGAAAAGTAGGTTGAACATGACCACTCTAGAAAGTCTTCCAGTAGCTTTTAAGAGGTGCCTAAAACAGTCAACTTCTTGGCATCAGTATGTGGTGAATATGGCCAAAAGACGTGTTACTTGGAGCTCTGTAGTTCCGTGCCTGTGACTGGATTTTGTTTAGCCTCCCCGATGCCGAAGACAGAGCTGCACAAATTGAGGCCTAATCGCTGCTAACTACTTCAGCATTACTGGGACAGTTCTGCATAGAGTCTTCTGCTGGGATATATATCTGCTTCTAGGACACATGCATCTGGGAATGATGTTGGTTTCCAAAGCCGGTGTGTAAAGGATGCGTTGGTCTCTTGGCACTGAAATACTTGGATGCTTTTATGGATCTGGGATCAAATGATTTTGCTAGCTTGTATGAAGTTGGTGGCAAATTGAGAAATTGAGTGTGATGTTGAGAATCCAAGCCTAGTGCCAAATTCCTGGACACTTTTTAAAGTATCTTTATCCATTTTCTGGACTACAAACTTTAGTATGAAAAGGTCATCTCTGATGTGACAAAGGAAAGATAGGATGTTGAGAGGGTTTTGGGTTTTTTGTGTGTGTGCGTGACAGCTGTTGCAAAGCAGGCAGCAAATGAAAGATGGTTAGGCACTGTAAAGGCAGAAGTAGTAGATTACCTCAGCTGACTATTCCTGCTAGTAACTGGACCCTTAAGCATTGAGCTTTTCTGATGTTGAATTCACAACTTCTAATTTTTCTGCAGGGAAAGGTGGCATAACATCTATGGATGGTAGAAAGAACGTGAAAAAATCTGTGTCGTCAAAGCCAAACACAATTAAGTCCATGTTTATGGCCAGTGCTGGGAAGAAAAACACAGATGTAAGTTCTTACATTTTTGAATTTAAAGATTTCTAACTTCCTCACACTGTTTTAGTGGGAATGGAATAAAGCAAGGGCTCGCTTCGGTTCCTTGTGTCTGGCAAGTCATAATCTCCTGTTACGGTCTCTTGTGTATGGAGCATTCCCGAAAACGTGTGTTTTGTAGAAATCCTTCTGTTTCAAACAAGCTGTTTGTTGCTGGTGTCCCGATGGGATTTGCACATGTAACTAAGAACTCTTTTGGCTAATCTGTTATCTTACAGAAAACTGTGGACCTGTCAAAGGATGATTTACTAGGGGATATTCTTCAAGATCTCAATGCTGAAGTAAGTATATTAATAAAATCTTGCTTGAACACTTTCATTAATTTTTCTTGCTGTGGAGCATGCTCAAATTCTTCCTAAAACTAGGCCATCTAAGACTGATTTCTTCTATAGTTCATCTGCTTGGTACATTCCACATGTGTGTGCAGACTACCTGCCATCTCCATCAAGCAGAAGCTTCGTGACTGTTTCGATTTGATAAGCCAAAATTACTGTGTCCTGATTAGAGATGGTTTATGTTAATGTGATGTAGAGCCTGTGCTAGTGCAGGTTTCTAGGTTTTAGTCGTCCCGGAGTGGAACAGGACTCGCATGCCTCTGAATCGTGTACCATCTATGTATCGCCACGCTCCAGCCAGTATACAGTAGGATATTTCTGTCTGGCCTGTTTGGGTTCACAAGAAGAGCTGAGGGAGGACTGTTTCAGCAGATGACGTAGCTCAACTTCTGTCTGCCACCTCCTGCTTTCCACGCTTTGCCTCAGAGAACCAGGTTAACACTCCTTCTGAGCTAGGAGTGCCGGATGGCTGCTGTAGCAGGATTGGATGGTCTCGAATAAGGTTGTTCCTTGTCATTAATGACGTTTCAGTGTGTTCATGTCCCTTACTAGGATTTCTTAAAACTGAAAGGATTGCTTACATGTAAACTGTGAGACTGCTGTAGTGGTGAGATACTGAGTTATGTAAAGAGCATAATATGTTTTTACGGAGCACTAAGAGGGATATAGGTGTTCCCATGTAAAGTTGTTCTCTTGGTTTTGTGCTCCTATTGTACTCTTCCTTGTGACATCAGATTATAATATCTTACGCTATCAGAACCCCTCAAATCATTAAGCAAATGCATTTTAATAGTGTCAGATTTTGTGGAGCGTTGATAAGGGGAAATAATGCTAGTAATTATACTATGGGTGGCGAATCACTGGAACAGGTGGCCTGGAGAAGCTGTGGATACCCCATCCCTGGAAGTGTTCAAGGCCAGGCTGGATGAGGCTTTGAGCAACCTGGTCTAGTGGAAGGTGTCCCTGTCCATGGCAGGGGAGTTGGCACTGGATGGCATGTAAGGTCCCTTCCAACCCAAACCATTCTATGACTCTATGGCTCCTATTTACTTAAATAACTACTGTTTTTTGGCTTTGTTTTCTAAATTTTCTTTCATTACCTGTTGATAAGGATGAGTATAAAATATTTGTACATGTAAATAAATTAAAATGGGTTTTCCTTTATTGTGGCAGTGCTGAGTAAAGCATTTCTGCCTTTCTTAAAGCACATGTGCTCAGTACTGCTGCTTCAGCAGACATGAAGAACATCCCACCCATTATTCTGGTACTCGTGTGTTAAAGGCACAGTTAGCTATTGAAATGCCTGCTGTTTGAAAACTTTCACTTTCTGATGACAGTTTTTCTCTCAAACTGTTTAGCAAAAAAAAATAAATCTAATGTCTGTCTTCACGGGCTGATTGCTCAGATAACTTTATTCGTGGCTGAGTTGTATATCAGGAGGTGTGTTTTCTTGGCAAATGAGAAATATGAGTGACCTTATTTCTCTTCGATGGACAACATTACTAACCATGGCAAAAGAAAACCCTAAACAACACCTCTCTGCTTTGTCACTGTATCTTTTATTTCAATATTCAGACTGTTCAGCTAAGTTCACCACCACCAGTTATCATGCTGAAAAGGAAAAGATCTGCTGGAGTACCACTGAATCCTTTCTCTGTGCAGTCCCAAACTCCTAAGGTAAAGGAAAAAAAATCAAAACTTTTTCAGTAATAAGTATTAATCCATATTTTGGTTGATTTGAATACTTTGTCTTTATTTCTGCTTCTAGAAATTACCTTTCTCATTAGCTTCCTTAGCAATGTTACGCTGTAACTTCATGCATTTTTCCTATTCTCCTTCTTTTTAATGCATAAACAAGAATATAGCTTTTTTACCTTTAGTATAGTAGTGGAATGTAGCTGTTACACGTGAGCAGTGAAACTGTTTTTGTAATGTTAGGTGTGTCATGTGAAGGTCAGCTTCTGTTTTGTCTCTTCTATCCTAAAGAGTAGAAAAGACCCTTGTTGCAAGGAAAGGATGATGGGAAGTGAAACAAGCAGAAGAAAGAGCATTTGTGGATGTGGGAAAGGATAAAGAAACTCATCTTTTGCAGAAATGGAAAGCAAGTGGAAAATTGAAGCTATGTATAAAGTTTACCCTAGTGGAAGATTTTGGGGTGAAAGGAGTGACAGGCTGCTGAGGGTGGAAGGCTAGCATTTTGTTAAAAAGTTCTGGTAAACGAGAAGGACTTTATAGATGGAAATACAGTGAGATATTTGTTAAAGTCTGTAGAGGGCAAATGGAAATACAGTAGATGGATCTGCTTTGTGAAGCCTTGTGTAATAGTGACGTCAGCTCTGATGGTGAAAATAATCACCAGTGGCACTCATTTGAACAGTTCTGTGGGAGACTAGAAGTAATTGGGGGGGAAAGGGGGAAGGGAGATAGCGTGAGAGAAGATCTTTGTCTTCACGGTTCAAAACAGTAGTCACTTTCATAGGAAACATTGAAAAGGAAATAATTCCCAGACGGGCTGTTCAGGTAATAGCTTCTGTGGTCCTTGGAGGAGGAATGTCAGTTTTTAGACAATGAAACAGATTAAGAGGGTGAGGAGTGCAGCCTTGGAAAATAAATGGGCATAAAAAGCCAGATGCCAGTGATGCTTTCTACGTCAGGAGATGAGCAGAAATATAAGTATGAATAAATTCATTTGGCTGAGCTAGCAAAGAATGGAATTGTTGGTGAAGGTAGATTAAGTGATTTTTACTTTCTGTTTAAAGTGACTGAAGGGCTGAGTTTGGTGTTGGCCACAGCAGAAGTAGCTGGACAGAGATTAAAACTCTAGAAGTGTCTGTGTGCAACTGTAAATTCTGTATCTGCAACAGCTTTCCCTGAAGGTTAAGGTTGTGGACCTTGCCACAGGTCAGTAGGTGCAGAGACCTGTCGCTGGTCATGGTGGAGGCTGCTTTGTACACGTCTTCCGTAAGGAGAGGTTCTGTACCTGCTGCCGTACTGGCATCTTGGCTGAATACCAAACTGTGCTTATTGCCTCCGCGTTGAGGCTTGCGGAGCACACGGAAATGCGGCTTCTTTGTTTTCCTCGCTCTCCCTGTCATGCCTGTAGCATGAAGAAATCCAGTGGAGAAGTGCTCTGCTCTCCAGACCTGTGGTGTCCTGTAGACATACCATTACTGATATGAAGAGGTGTAAACTGCTCTGTTGTTGTTCCAGGCTCTGTCCATCCCTGACATACTTTGTCATGTACCCAGTTGACACAGAGGTTTTAATTTAGGAATGTAGTAGTGCTACGTGGGAAAAATAGTGAAAGTAACCACAAACTTAATTAAATGTCAACCATGGCCTGTTGTGAACTGCTTTTTAAAAACTATAGCAGAAATAGAAACACATAGAAACACATCGCAGCAGAAGTGATGCTATAGAGTTTTAAAGATTACCCTTGAGGAGTTTTAGCTATCATGCTGCAAAACATGTGGAACTTCTCCTTTAGCCCTGGTTACTGGTTCTGCAAACAGTGAGTGCTAGACTTCCCCCCCCCTTTTTTTTCTCTTAAGAGAGTTCTTTCTAACTCATGGCTAAAATGTTTTTCAGGTAATCACCCCTATATCAAAGAAAGCTCCTGCTTATCTCAGGAAGGAAGCTCTTCCTCCAGCTTCATTTCATCCTAAACATCCCAATCGCACAACAAAATCCGTTGTAGTCTCTGAAAACGAGGATACCAAGTATGTGCAAAAAGCTACAGAAAACAGGAGAATAGTGAAGACAGTAAAAGAGGATGCTATTGAAGGTACCAAAAAATCATATGCAGTTTTAGGAACTCTTTAAATATGACACGTTAGTGTTAAAACACTCCTAGTTCATACTAGTTAGATGCTTAAAAGTGGTATTATGTTTGTATATTAATAGTGTATATTACGTTCATGCATATAGTATGCTACCTACGCATGTTGCTGTAGCACACAGTGGGTCATTCTGATGAGTCAAGCCTTCAGTTCTCTGTGTGCAACACTTCCAGATGATGATCAGGGGATGATGGATTTTGATGAGGAGGACTTTGATGAACCTATGGAAGCAGAGCATATGGGAACTGTACCTGAGACAGCTGAAAGCTTGAAGAGAGACATGGAAATTGAGAAGAAAGAGACAGAACAACTGGAATCCAAGAAGAGAGAGACATCTGTCTTGTAAGAATCTTTTTCATTTATTTTTGTTTTCCCTTCCCCCAGTAAACCTTTCAGTATTAAAATTATTGGAATTATTCAAACCCAGTCTTAGCCTTGGATTTATCTTCATATTTGTCTATGCCAATGGGATAATTGTAATATGGACAGAACAGTGATAGTGCTACATGGTGTTTTTTTGTAGTGATGTTAAAAATGATAGTGTTGAACATGCTGATAGCTAATAATCGAAAAATACTTCATGTTTTGGGGATTTAGCACACGACAACGTAACACCTATTTCAGTGTGCTTAGGTGACTCGGTGAATTTTGATGCCAGTAAGCAAAAACGAGGAGTTGCTAACAATGCTTATTCTAAGCAACTATGGAAGTATTTCATAACGTTAGTTGTAGTTTAAAGTATTGCTGCTAAAAGCAATTTCACATGGTGAACATCTACATCTTTGGAAATAGGAAAAAAGGGGGGGATTTCCCCATTGGGTTTCTTCCAAAGAATTAAAAAAAAAATCTTTAATGATGTTTCTGTAACTTTGATAATTGAAATATTTCACAGTTTAAAAACACTTAAGCATTTAATGACTGGAAAGGTAGTTTTGTTGAAAAAAGATCTGTTGTTCCCACTGAGCAACTGAGATTGGTGGATATATCTGTTAGTAAAGTCTGAAATGTCCAGGGCTGAAATAGCAGGTGGGAGAGTTAAAGCCTCAATGTTGTGCACTGAGAACCGTACTTGTATGTGGGTTTCTGTCTTTGTCACTCCACCCTTCTTTTCAGAAGAGATCTGAGGAAACCCAGCGGGTTGGAATGTTACTCAGTAGTTGAAAGAGAAACAAAAGGCCTGAGAGTACAGGGCTGGAAAAAAGCAAAACAGTTGTGGTTATACCAAAGGCACCAAATTTACTTCCTGTTTTTTTTTTTTTCTTCTTCTGCAAAACCTGCAGCAGTTGCCCTCTCCCAGATACCTCATGTTGGGACAGAATTGATGAAGATGAAGCTGATCTCGTAGTGGCAGAAGTTCAGCTGGACCCCACTCTCCTTCCACTTGTGAATGGGGAAAATGATGATCAAGTCTTAAGATTTTATTGGCTGGATGCTTATGAAGATCAGTACAGTCAGCCAGGTAACTATTCAGTTCAAGGCAGACAATGCCATGTTGATTCTTTTTGTGTAACTGGGATTTTCAGACTTGCCTAAATCATGTCTAGATACCCTGTCTCTCTGTGCTCTGTAACTTGTACATTGATGTCTGGTTTCGCAGCGCCCCTGTCCACAGCGCAGGACGCTCTGACTGGGTGAAGCACGCGTGTTGTCTCTTGGTCTGGTGTAATGGCAGAGAGGTACAAGGGGAGCTGTCAGCACTTCTGGATGCTGCTGAGGTGTTGGCCTTCTTAAACCCAGTGTGCTTCAGGAATAAGATGATACTGTTAAGTTCTTACTTAGTGTCACAACAGTTGAGCATTTCGTCTTGATTCTGGAAATGTAACTTAAAATTCTAGAGGATTACTGTAAAGCCTGTAGAATAGCAGTTGTACAGTTTTATATGATGGAAAGGCGTGTCTCCAAAGGGAGGAAAGTGGCCTGAAAAATACAGGCTCTGTTTAGGTCTGTGTATTGAAACTGTCTAAAACTTTGAGGCTTGTCTCTGCCTTAATGTCCAGAGATACTTTGTGCCCTTGAAGTGTGAATCCTGGCTCTCTTAGTCTTCTGAACTGTGGCATTCTGATCTCAGCCCTGACCAAAGAAGTTGTGTTCTCATCTCTTGTAAGCCCTTCTGTGCTGGTTTTAGTTGGGACAGAGTTAATTGTCTTCACAGCGGCTAGCGTGAGGCTGTGTTTTGGATGTGTGCTGAGAAGGGTACTGATAACACCGGTGGTTTTAGTTGTTGCCAAGGAGTGTTTGTACCAAGTCAAGGACTTTCTCAGCTTCTGGTACTGTGACTGTGTTCCCAACTCTTTCTACAAGAAAACTACAAGTCTACAAGAAACTGGGAGGGGACACAGCCAGGACAGCTGATCCAAACTGACAAAAAGGGTATTTGATTCCATGGAACATCATGCTCAGTGTGTAAGTTGGGGGTGGGCTGGGGGTCATGTTATTTTCTCTCATTCGCACTCTCTCTGTTGTCGGTCGCTCTCTTGCTTGTTGGGGTTCGCTCTGGCCCTAGTGCAATCTCTCGGGCTCTCTGGCTGTTCAGGGGCTGTAGTGTCTGTTGGTGGGTGGTGAGCAATTGTATAATTTGTTTTATTTTCCATTATTTGCATTACATACTATTATTAGCGTTAGTATTATTTTTGTTACACGTTATTAGTGGTATTGTTAGTATTATTGGTATTGTTAGTGTTATCACTGTTTTATTAATTTATAATATTATAAAGTTGTTCTTATCTCAGCCCTTGAGTTTCCTTGTCTCTTCCTCCAATTCTCCTCCTCCTCCTCCACTGGAGGGTGGGGGGGAGGTGAGCGAGTGGCTGTGTGGTACTTGACTGCTGGCTGAGATTAAACCAGGACAACTTCCCATCCATCCTCTCATTTCAACAGCAGCTTTAGGATCTTGGGTTTCTAATTTGTGCTTCATGTAGGTTTACTGGAAGGTTCTTCCATATGTTGTTGGAGGTTTTTTGGGCTGATGCTGTAAGCATTCAGTCAGATACGTTTCTTTGTTACACCTTTTTCTTGTGAGTTGGGATGCCAGACTTAAAAATGAGACTGTGCTGGGCTGAACAGCTTGGTGATGGGAGTGGTAATAATCATAGATATCTTGATGAAATCAATGGCTCTAATATAAAATTGCTACATTTAAAGACCCCACTATTGTTCTTTTTCCTTTTTTTTTGTCTTGTAAGTCAGTGGTTGCTGAATGGAACATAATTATGAAAGGATTTCTGTTCCTCGCATGCAAGGAGTGTTCTTTTCTCATTATGACTTTTTCAGGATTGAATAATAAAGACTGCACCTGTTTTCAATTAGTAGTGTAGAAGGGAGAATTTTGATACTGCTTTTTGTTTAACATGTTCATGATCTTTGTTTATGCCTCATTTGCTGTGATGTCAAATGCATTGCCTGAAGAGTAAATACTATAGCATAATCATAAGACTCTCTTAAACGTAAATGATTTTTTGGAGGCTTACTTTTCATAACTCCCTTTACTTTCTTAGGCAGAGAACTTGAGAATTGTAAACCTATTAACATTTTAAAGAAATAACGAATAAAAACTGCCCTTTCTTTCCCTTCTGCAAGATATTTTCCCCGTCTCCTGACTTTGCTTGCCTTTTGGTTCATCGGTAGCATGATCTTTCTTTTCACAGACTTGGTGTTTTGTAAGCTTTAATCCCATTTTCTTTCTTTTTTTCCATAATGAGGTTTGCAGGGGATAAGGCCTGATACTTCTTCTCTCATTTCTTGGTCTTACACCTGACATGTCTGTGAAACTCTGTGACGTTAGCCCTGCTTTCAGTGGGGGTGGAGTGTTTGACTAGGTGACCTCCAAAGGTTCCTTCCATTCTAAATTACTCTGATTCTGTGAAATTTGGAGATTAAAGCCACTTATTTGTCCATGCTGGAGAGGGTTGAAGTTCGTTTTTGCAATCCAGGCAGCCTTTTACCCTGTCTTGGACTGGCTCATGTGCCCTTTTTTTCTACCTCACCTGCTTATGTGTCCACCTCCAGCAGGTTAACTTCTCCATGCTCTTACTGTTGCCCTCTGTTTAAGCAACCTACTCCTCTTTTGTGGTCTCTCCCATAGTTCATCTTCTTGTGTGATACAAACCTATGTGAGGTTTTAATCCCTTAAAGAAAAAAAAAAAAAGATGATTGCTGGGGACAAGAACATCTTCCCTGTCACTTAGATCTGTAATTTGAGCTCTTTCTGGATCCTTTTATTCAAACTGTCTAAATCTTGAAGATTGCCTCTGCATTAAAATCTCGAAGATGCTTTGTGCATGTGAAGCTTGTATCCTTGCTCTCATCATCTTCAGAACCGCAGCACTGACAAAAGTAGTCTTGTTCACGTCTATTCCAAGCACTCAAGAAATGATTTTTCTTGGCCTGTCACTCTGTCATCTGTCTTAGAGCATCTTCACTGATTTAGCTTTGATCTAATGGAGTAAGAAAGGTGCCTTTACATCTGATGGATCACGTGGCAAAGATAAATTAGAACTCTTAACCAAGGACTTACTTGTGCGTTGTCAGACCGAGGAGAAACGCAGGTTCCAAAAATCTTCCTTACGTGAAACGCTGTTTCTGAGACAGCCTCAGCTCTGCTATTTCTGATTTCGTTAACGGTAGTGTCCGGTGGGGAGAGTGGCTTTCATGTAATCAGATCCCCAATGATTTGGACTTTAAAGGGGACTCGGGTGAAGGCACGTTTTTGAGTTGTATTGGAAGGTGGGTGTTTTTTTTAACTTGTAATTCCCAAACTGCATGTGGAAGTCGGCTGGCTCTGTTCCATGTTATTTCAAAGCTCGACATCGCTTGGTTAGCAGTTGGCAGCACTTTGCGCTAATGCCCAGTTCTCTCTGCCTCAGAGGTGTGCGCGTACAATAACCACGACGTCCGGAGCAAAGTCCGTTGCACTAGTCCTGCTCTTAGCAGGCTTTCTGCGTCTCTGCCGCCGTTGCACCCTCTCTCTTGGCATCCAGGATTTCTTGCGATGTCGTACATCTTCCGCTGCCCTCATTTGTTAAAAACAGTCAGTTGAAAACTTTTTGCAGTCGATCAGCTTCTAGTCATTGTCTTCAGAATGCATTTCTACAGGTTTTGTTTGTAGTAGAGTCTTGATTCGATGGTGCTGCAGTGTAGGATAAATGGGTCAGTTGGACTGGTCTAACTGAAGAATGAAAACCTGTAGATGACAAATGTTTCAGGAGTGATTGACAGCACATGCATTCTGATTATATTCAGTTTTCAGTGACTTCTCTCTCCTTCCTCCCACTCCCTGTGAATTACTAAAGTAACGTAGGTACAAATGGAATATCAGAACAAAATTCTGAGACTGGCCGTGCGATGCCATTTTGAATTTCACCTATCAGGGTGTTACTATAGCGATGGAGGTGGGAGTGTGAAGAACTAAACAGGCTTCTGTTTGTAAAGCTGGTGTTCAAAACAATTTAGAATGTGCTGATACATTGGAAGAACTTGTTGTTCAGGGACTTAAACCACAAATGGTTGTGTTTCTATGCAAGAACACACGCTTTAAGCGACATGAAGAATGGTTAATTTAAGAATTGCCTATTCAGTACTTTACTCTGCCCTTATTCCTTAGGTGTGGTGTTTTTATTTGGCAAAGTTTGGATTGCATCTGCAAACACCTATGTCAGTTGTTGTGTGGCAGTGAAAAACATTGAGAGAACTGTTTATCTACTTCCACGTGAAACAGTAAGTGTATCTTTTAAGCGTGTCAAACATAAGTACCTTTCATTCTGTTTGTGGCAGGTTATGAGTTCTAGTAGTGTGTTTATGGGAGCTGTTGAAGCCAGTGTTGTCTGATGTAGGAGCTAAAGTTGAGTACAACATATACACAGTATATCACGTGAGATGCAGAGTAGAGTGTTGCTGCTTCTCCCCGACCCTAACGAACAACTGCAGACAAACTGTTAACCTTTAGACTTGCTGCTTAGGAAATAAAGTTGCCTTTGAGTATTATTAGAAAACTTACTGCTTTTTAAACACTGGTTCAAATATTATTTTTTTAAATTTGGGGTTTCTTGGCTGATTGCATTGTGGTTTTCCCTTAAGGAAGAGATAAATGTTTCATATTAGCAAAGCAAAATTCAACGTTCTGGTCATGTCTGGCATTTTTTTTTTAATCTGTAAAACCTGATTTCTTTTTTTGAGGAAATGGACCTATCCGCTGGCAAAGAGACAGAGACTCCGGTAACTATAATGAGTGTTTTCAAGGAGTTCAACGACTGCATTTCACCGAAGTATAAGATCATGAAGTTCAAATCTAAGGTTTGTCTACAAGCATCCTCCTTTTTTTTCCTGTCATTTTCTGATGTTCTCGTTCTTAAAGTGGGAAGTCTGTTGAAACAGTGTCCAGTGGGTGAGGTTATGCTGAAATGCAAAAAATACACAACTCCTGACATGTGTCAGAGTAGCTGCTTGTAAAAGTCATCCCAGTGTCTTCCCAAGTATCCATACTGCTTTAAGAACAGTAGATCTGCAACATGGTTGTTCCACCAGAATTTTAAACACACTGCTTTTGAAAATACCCATTCATTATGTTCTTTGAAACTGGGCTGAATGGCAGACTGTCGTTCCTGCTTGCTGAGCTGTTTTTGGGAATACAGAACAGGTAGGAGTTCTGATACCTAAAGCCTGGCTTATCACCACCTGGTGTCAGAATTGAAAATGAAAGATTGGTCAGTACAGCGGGATTAGACTGTCTTTGCATTTGACCAGGTGTCATATTGAAGTTCATCTCTTGGCATGTTTCTTCTCACCCTTGCAGATTGATCCTTTCAGAATGCATGCTGTTGGCAGCATGGATTGTCGTGGTGTGTTTTTACAGGAGGTAGCAAGTTGTGAGGAAACGTGAAACTTAAGCTGGTTTACAGTTCTGGGAGATAGTCGTGTAGTGTTGCTGTACTGCGTTCTGTTTGCTCAACAAACCCTTAAAACAACATGGGAAAAGCTAAAGGTTGCTGTAGTGGAAAACTTAATCATATGGTAATCCAGTACTGGTCACAACTCTGCAGGAAAAGAGCTGGTATTGCTGGTAGTGTTGCAGAAAGGGACTGAATTAGTTTGTGAGTGTGAGAAAGCCTTGTTCATTTACACAGAGCCTTTTGGCAGGTGGGAAGGTGGCTAACATGCACGTTTAGAGGAAAAGATTTGTTCAGCATGAAGTGCTCAGAAGCTTTCCCATTTCTTCAAGTGAGATGTCATGAGTGCGATGAAGGTGGCTTTCGTTGTAATTACTGGGAGATGTGGGATTAGTTGTAACTTCTCCCAGGCTGGCAGTCTTGAGACTTCATAGGATTTGTTCTTGGATAGTTGATCAGGAAATGGGATGGCAAGTAAAAATGCAGGGAGAATGTAATTTAACAATATGTAAATGAGGGAAGGTAAAAACAAATTCATATGATAATTCAGGTTGGCAAGACCCTCAGGAGTCCTCTAATCCAAAGTTGGAGTGCTTCAGACAATTAAAGGAGTTGAAGTGAAAATGCAAGCGGTGTTTGTCAAATGGTAAATTCACGCAAGAAATGACGTCTTTTCGTCAACGCCTGGCACTGTTTACATCATTCAGGGAAAACGCACGCTTCACTAGAAATCTGTAAAACTTTATTGTTGTTTTTTTATTCTAGCTTATTTATCAGAACTCCGATGCAAATTTAGTTTTTTCATCTTTATCAGGGTTATTTCTCTTGTATATTTGATTATAACTTAGTTGTTATGTATGGGGATCAGAAAGGAATTAACTTAAGAATAGGTAAAAACCAAGTCTGTAATAGCTTTCTTTTCAAAGACCCTTCCAGGGATGAGGGAGGAAACTCTGGGCAAATTAATTCTTCATTAAAGAGAGGGTACACACCCTGTTATTCCTGAAAATGGAGGGAGGGGGAAAGGCCTTTGAAAAGGTGCAGGTCTGCTAACAGAATCCTGGGAAACCTCTGGCTGTTCCATGATGCTAAGGAACAACTGTGGGTGAGGTAATGGAGTAATACAGTTAAACCCTCGAAGATGGCTCTTTGAAATCAAGATAAACCATATGCAGGAAGTATTGGAACTGTTATTTGGGATGTTAGTTCAAAGCCTATCAATTTTTTACCGAGTTTAGAGAGAGCTGGAGATAAAAGAATCAACTGTGTGATCTGGATACATCACTACAGTGCATCTAGGGTCCTGGGTGTAGCACAGGCGTGATCCCTAGCAGGAACTGGGAAGCAGTAGCACTAAGGCACTGTTAAGGTCCTACCTAGAATATTTTAACACTTCATCGAGGGTAATCAAGAAAGATGAGCTTGAGCCAGAACAGGTATGAAAGCTGGCAGTTAGGAGGATGAGACAAAAAGAATGAGTTATACCAGAGGTAGCTATAAAAGAGCTTTAATTTTTTTTTTTTTGCCTGCTAAAGTGAAGAAAAATTATAAGACCTTTTTGCTCTCTAAGAACATTATAGGGGGATGAACAGCAAAAGAGCTATTTAAAGGACGGTTTTAGCAAAAGAAATTTATAAATTTTAATTCATGAATAAATTAGGCAGGATGGTTAAGGGTGTAGAGAAGCTCTGAAATCACCTACCAGAAGTGTTTTTAAACAGTAAGAATTCAAAGTCTGTTTGAATTCATCAGACATGAGTAAAGTGAATTTTACTAACATGGAAAAAGGCTATCCAGCTTTATTTTGCTGGCATAATTTTCTGCTGATTTTAATAGTCACAGCCTTCTGGAAGGGTTTCATTAGCAGAAGGGTATGACTGTTAGTGTGTGGGGTAAGAGAAAAGATAGGATTGGAGAGCAGGGCTATTGGTGGGGCTTTTGTAGGACTATTCAAGGAAGCTCTTTCAGTAACTCAGCTATTCCAGCTTAACGCAAACTTGGCTGTGAACAAGCGGCAGGGTACTAGAGAGCAAATCTGGCTATGCTTACATCTCCGTAGCACAGCGTCCCGTTGCTGCCTGCAGGGTAATTGTGGAAGTCATGGGGTTGTCCCATTACCACACCTTTCTTTTAATCTTAAGGGGTCACCGTGTGTATCTTCATTGCCGTCATACCACCAGAGATGATGTGGTGTCATACCGCCTCTGCCCCTGTTTCGGTAGGAGTGTGCGGGGCTCTCAAACTGCAGTGGTGGTTGCACTCAGCTGAGTGAATGCTCCCAAAGAGGGATCTCCACACAGTTGTGACTGTGTGCAGTTAAGAGCAAATATGCTCTAGAACTCCCCTGCTCTGCCATGTGTAGCCAGTGTTCCACTACTGTGGTGTTAAGGAATGGTGTTTTGAAAGGTCTTTGGAAAGGCTAATGGCAACATTGCTTAGGTGAGCAGAGCACTTGTTACTCCTAAAATGTTGCACACGTAGCGGTTCTCATTGTGGCGCAGCGCTGTGAAACTGAGAAACTCTTATTCTTCCACCGCTAGAAATCGGACAGGCCATGTGCCCAAAATTCTTTTATTCAGAATGGCCAGTTTTGTAACAATGTGGAGAGAGCCAGCGTTTATACATGGAGACAAGTTGTTCTCTGTGTGCGCACGCGTGCATCTTGGCCTTGCCAGCAACAGACTTGGGCCCTGCAGATACACTTAAGCCATATCACTTCCATCCGCACCTGCTGCTAATTGTAGCTTCAATGGGTTGCACTACTGCCAAGTTAGCAAGTCCTCACAAATCAATTTGAAAGCAGCCTTACTCCACTTAGGAACTTAGCAGCTAATCACTGCTGCTCATTTCTGCTCTCTGAAGGGCCACTTGAAGGGCAGATTACTCTGCAGCAAAGCATTCATTCACTGCAGTTATGACCAGAGCCTTGTGTAATTGAGCTCTGTGGAATAACGCAGATGAATCACTGCAGCATACTATTTTTACACTGTGTTCAGCTTGCGTTTGCAACAAGAACTTGTTTGAAGCCTGAGAGTTTGTAGATTTTGGTTTGTTCGTTTTTTTAATAAAATAAAAAAGGCTGGGGGCAGCACCAGTAATATATGCTAAAAGCAATGCATTGCCATCTGTAACGTTACAGCTACGATGTGTTGCTTACCTGAGGTGGTGCTTTGGCTCTACAGATCTGCATTTGCTTGCTAATTTGTAAGGCTGTTCTGACTTCATAGTGGTGCTAGAAGTTATATTACTCTTTTCCACTTCCATGTAGCGGTTGGTGCCACAGTTGTTTCTGGATCTGCCTCCTTCCCTCTCCTACTTGGGCTTTGCAGCCTTGCACTCCAGCAACACTGCAATGTTATGAGAAAGAGCAAAGTTAACTGCTCGTTGTGCTCTGCAGGAGCTATTGCTGATGCTGTTAATTTAAGGGGGAGGAAAGAAACACCAACAAACCAGCCCCAAACCCAAATAACTTTGAGTTTACTGAACTGTGCATGTTTTTAATTTTTTTTAAATTGTATAACATTTTATTACAATTTATAGTGAATTTGTCTTTTCTTATAAACTTAGTCTGGTGGTGAGTTTTGCTGAGTTTGTGTATAATGTGCTGAACTTAGTGCACTGTCCAGTGAAAATGATGACTTTTAATTTAATGGGCTTATAGGAATTCTTGTAGTAAGATTTAAAACGTTCTAGCATCGTTATGGCATAGCACAATAACAGTGGTGCAGGTGGTTTGTGAAGTATTACAGGGCAGAGCATACATATTGTGGGGTATAGCATAGCATTTCAGCCATAGTGCTGTTGCACAGGGTATTGTAAGTATTTGGAAAATTGAGGTAGTTATTCTTAGAAACTGACAAGCCATGCATGTTGTGGAAGAACATTATTGTTCTTGAAGAAAGCAGAAGTGATACTTTTTGAAAGTTGTACTGAACTTCAGGCTGCTTTGTTAGAGATACGTAAACAAACTTGACGACTTTCTAGTAAAACCAAAGTCACACATAATAAAAAATACAGTGCAGTCATAGAAAATACTCTGTTCTCAGCGTGTAATCAGCAGCTGGCAGATGGTTGGGAAATCAGCTCTCTCGGGTGCCTCTGAAGTGCCAGTATGTACGCAGTATGGAAGGAGGAACTGCGTGCAGTTACAGGGCTACCATCTCATTGGGATCACAGAGACGTGGTGGGATGGGATGTGGTTAAGGAGGACAGGCTGGGATGGTGAGGAAGGGGAGTCTGGTTCATGTGTGGCACTCTGCTGAAGGGTGGGCAAACAGCCAGTCCAGAGCTTATGGATCAGGATTAGAGGGCAGACTAATGGGACTGATATGGTGGTGGAAAAAGGAAAACCAAAGCCCACCTGGAGTTGAATCTGGTGAGGAAGGCAAAAAGCAGTAGGAAAGGCTTCTATAGCTATAGGAGGGCTAGGGGAAAATGTGGGCCTGCTGCTGAAAGGGACAGGGGATGTGGTGACAAAGAGCATGGAAAAGGCTGATGTACTCAATGCCTTCTTCACCTTGGTCTTTACTGCTAAGCTGAGCCTTCAGCAATCCCTGACCCCCAGAGATGAGAAGAAAAGCCTGAAGCAAAGAAAACTTGGCCTTGGTGGAGGAAGACGAGGTTAGGGAACATTTCAGCACACTGGACAGTCACAGGACCTGATGGGGTACACCCATGAGTGTGGAGGGAGCTAGGCAATACGCATTGCGAGACCACTCTTGATTATCTTTAAAAAGATTGTGTTGGTCAGAGGGACATGCCTGAGAACTGCTATCCTCAAGATGGGCAAGATGAGGAAATTCCAAGGAACTAGAGGCTGGCCAGCCCCACCTCAAGCCCTGGGAAAAGGTGATGGAGCAACTAATTGCAAAAATAACTGTTCTCCAACACACAAAGCACAAGAAGGTGTTTGGCGTAGATTTAAAGAGAGGAAATCACGCCTCACGGAGCTGGTAGCCTACCGTGAAGAGATGACGGGCCTGGTGCCCAAGGGGAGAGCAGTGGCTGTTGTCTACCTTGACTTCAGCCAGGCGTTCGGCGCTGTCTCCCATAGCATCCTCAAAGACGAGCCGATGAAGTGTATGGGACAGCGAAGCGGGCAGCGAGGTGTGCTGAAAACTGGCTGCAGTGCTGGGCTCCAAAGGCTGTGACCAGCAGCACCGTCCAGCTAGAAGCCAGTCTCTGGTGTGCACCCTCGGGGTCAGCACGGGGCTCAGTCCTGTTCCATGCCAGTGCTAACGGCCTGGCTGCGGGCGCAGAGCGCACACCCAGCGAGGCTGTGTACAGCAGAGAGCAGGGAGGGGTGGGTGGTACAGCCCGGGGGCGTGCTGCTGTTCAGAGGGACCGCAACAGGCTGGAGGGGTCTCACGACTTACAGGGATTTCATCAGGTTCAACCAAGGGCAGTTACAAGTCCCACACCAGGGAAGGATCAACCCCCACGGACTCTGGGACTGACCGACTGGAAAGCAGCTTTGCGGTTGTCCCGGTGGGCACCAGCGTGACCCCGTGAGCCAACAACGTACCCCTGCGGCAAAGGCGGCTGCGGACACCCTAGGCTGCATGAGACAGGCAGTGCCAGCAGATCTTGGGGAGGTGCTCCTTCCCCTTTATGCAGCCCTGGTGAGACACGGGAGTGCTGCGTTCAGCTGAGCTCCCCGCCCTGGGAAAGCTACACGTGTCGGAGCGAGTCCAGCACAGGACCATAACCGTGATTACAGGGCCTGGAGCATCTGTCATGTGCGGAGAGGCTGCGAGACCTGAGACTGCTCAGCCTGGAGGAGAGAAGGCTCAGGGGAGGAGGCTGGTGGTGCAGGTCTTCCAGTTGTGTATGAATGTGCTGAGCAGGAGTAAAGGTGACTCTGGCAGACTCTCCTCATTGGAGCCCAGTGGAGGACAAGAACAGCAGGTACCATTTGGAGCAAGAAATTTATCAGAACATAAAGGACTTCTTTATTTTTTACAGTAAGGGAGATCAGGCGCTGGCTCAGGTTGCCCAGAGAGGCTGTCGAATCCCCATCCTGGGGAATATTCAAAACCTGACTGGAGAGGGTCCTAAGCAACCTGCTGTAGTTGACCCAGCTGTGAGCAGGTAGTTGGACTGGGTGATCTCTGGAGATGCCTTTCTAGCTCAGCCATTCTGTGATTTTTGTGGTGGTCTGCAACCACCAATTTTTAAGAGTATGTTTGAAGTCTGAATTTACAGAATGTTTCTGAGTTTCCTTAGCTATTAAGCATGTGTGTTCTTTGTTTTGTAATGTTTAGTATATTTGTAAGTCAATTCTGTAGACACTCTTCATGCTGAGAAAACATGAAGAGGTTAAATACAGGTACTAAAACAACCTTAATATCTTTAAATGATTGTAATGAGCTGCAGAATTGGTAATATATGACCAGCCCATGAGATTGGTAATATATGACCAGCCCATGGTTTTGGCTGACCTTTATTTCGTTAGCTTTCTTACTCGACAGAACGAATTTTTGACTGGGAGATACTGGAAAAAATAATATCTTTGTTTTATCTAGAAAGTAGAAAAATATTATGCTTTTGAGATCCCAGATGTTCCAGCAAAATCAGAATACTTGGAAGTTAAATATTCGGTAAGTATAATTAATATGATGAACGACTGTAACCTGCTTTCTTACCGAATTAATAATTATATGACTTTACTTTAAAACAGATTTTTTTTTTTTTTAAATTGCAGGATTTGATCTTTGGTAGCTGGTGGTTGTACCTCTGTTGCAGTGTGTAGTTAGTTGTTTATTGTCTTGCAATTAAAAAGTAATAGAAAAAAAAGAAGCCATGAATACCTAAGCTTGTGGCTTTTTTTTCGTTATTATTTGTATGTAGCTTTGTCCCTAACAGAACAGGTCAGTAGCAGGTAACCTGTAACGTGATTTTTTGGCATTAGCTCTATTTGTAGAAATAAAGCGTGAGGGGAAAAAAATACCTCCTACAAATACTGAATTCCTTTCACCTTGTCCCTCAATTATAATCTGCTTATTTATTTACAACAGTCTATATCCCCAATTATCCTGCTTTGTTTTTTACCGCCTTGCCATGGAATCAACTAAACAGCCAAACAACTCTTGGGTCATGCCCTGGGTCAGGGCCTGCAGTAACTTACTACCCTTAAATGTTCTGTTGAATCCATGTCTAGAGTGTAGGTGATACCTCTGCTTTATATGGCTTTGCAAATAGCACCTAAGTGAGGAGGGCTTTTCTTGCAGAGCTGTAAAACTGAGCAGCACAGATAGGGGAAAAAATCCCACGAGAAGATCAGTAGCTATTCTCAATTGGCAAAAGTACTTGTTTTGTTTCAAGTGTGAGAGACTCAGCAGTTTTGAACTGATTTGGCCAGTTGCTGAGATAATACCTTTTTGAACCACTTCGTTTATACTAGTTTTAAGTGCAAAAGCGGCATCCCATAGAGTTTTGCCAGATACCTCTAATTTTTCTTTGGTTGTGCAGAAACACTTTATTCTTTATAGGGCAGACAAGACTGAAGCTGTAACTATCTAATGAAGTTTACAACACAAGCAGTTTCTGTATGAAAATGGTTATTGAACATGGTTGTCTTGGCTGATGATAATATTTCTCTTGCACCCAGTATGGATGAAGAACTTTTGCTTCCGTGCATTTTTACATTACTGTTCTGAGTTTTGTTATGCACCTATTTAAGTCGAGTCAATAGTGTAATTTCTTCAATTACTGTAAGGTATTATGGGTTAAGGCTTTGCTTGTGGGAAATTACGGTGATTTTGGGTATTGTGTAGTTTTGTTAAGATGCTGCCTGAATATGGTGTGTCACCTTGAAGACTTCTGTGGGATGAAATGACTCACTGCTTTCTGTTACTTGTTAGGCTGAATGCCCTCGGCTTCCCCAGGATCTGAAAGGACAAACATTTTCACATGTATTTGGAACGAACACTTCAAGCCTGGAACTTCTCTTGATGAGTAGGAAGATCAAAGGACCTTGCTGGCTGGAGATAAAGAATCCACGTACGGTGGTTTGCTTGTGAAATACTTGGTTGCTAGAAAACACACATAATTACAGACGGGAGGGGAGGAGGGAAAATTTAAATTATGCTGATAAATTGCAGAGTTAAATTATCATTTTAAAATTATAGTTGTAACTTAATCTTCCTTGTTTGAGTGAGAGCTCCGTCCATGTGAAGTTGCCCACAGAGTGGGTGAGATCATGACTTTGTGTGGCAGTGCGAGGGAGCTGTGCCGTGCCTCACAGCTGCTCTTTGGTGCACACCCTGAAGGCACATAACCTGAGCAGCTAAAGGTAGTTTCCTAGAAATTTGTTCCTCTTTCTTTTGATAACTTCAGGTTCATGTTTTTTCGGCGTATGTATCTTTTTAAGAACAAGCTGCTGGTAGATGGCTTTTTTTTGTCTTGTAGGTTGGGGTTTGTTTTTTTTTTTTTTTTTCCCCCTGGCACTTAGAAAAGTTTGTGAGGTGGAGCTTTTTTAGTTTGAAATCCTTTCCACGTGCTCCACTTACTGCTGGTTAGGCCACATTATTTTGGCTTGGTTAGAGCCCTTCATTCAGTGTGTGCTGCATATTCCCAACAACGTGGGGAAGTTGATCATACTGGACAAAAGCTACATCTGTTAGTGTGATGTCCTTGGGCTCTTCATGTGTAGCATTGATACTATGAATACTGACACCAGGAGGATTCTCCTCTTCAGCACCTCACTCAGTCACTGACAAAGCTGGTACCAGTAAGGATTTTGAGCTGGAAAAGACAAACAAATCCCTGACTGCCAAAAGGTGGATTAGCTCCAATGGTTTTTCCACCAAACAAGCATCAGTGTACTTTCTGGCACTGATTTTTTAAATGCCTAAGAGTGGTTTTTCATTCTTGTTGTTTGTTTGGTTTTATTTGTCTGGGGGTATGTGTCTAGTCTATCAGTAAGCTCTTGCTTTCTTGTGTAGCTTCCTTTCCACGCTTCCCATAGAGGGTCTTAGAGATAAGAAGTATACCTGGAAGGTTTAGAATTTGATCAGACTTCTACAGCTTCTTCAAAAACTCTCATCGCTATTTATGATGAAGTTGTCTTTGCTGTTTCAGTATCAGTGCTACATAGCAGCAGAGCTTTTCTAGAGCAACAGTCTCCAAACTTGTTAGATTGTGCACCCCATCATAGAAAGTTGAGCATATACCCTCAATATATGGATATTTATTTATAAATTATATACATGTACTGCTATACTAATACATTATGTACATTATCAAGTAAATAGAAAAATAGAAATTAAAAAAGGATGATCTGTGTGAAATAAACACTTTAAAAAGTATTTATTTTATTTATTAATGGTACCAAAAAATCTTCCCACAACCTAGGGGATCATCTTATGCACTCCCTGTGGTGTATACACCCCATTTTAGAAACCACAGCTCTATAGAGTGCTAGTTGAAGTGTTGAGATATTGGAGATCAGAGAAAAAAGGCGTTAAGCAATTAATTGCCAGAATTCCTTTGGAGATGTCATCAGTGTTTTATAAATGAAGATATTTTAGACACTTACCTCTTGGCATTTTGCAACAAGAGAAGATAAAATACGTGAGTTTCCAGAGAGGTGTCAAGTAATTTTGTAGGGAATGAGATAACTAGGTCTACCAATGTTGAGCCTAGCTGCCTTCAAAAGGCTAACTTGTCAGAAATGTAATCTCTGCTGCCTTCTTAATGCGTGTAGTGAGGTAACTCATCAACATCTTCTGTGAATAATCACCTTTTTTTTTTTTTTAAGCAAATGAAGAATTGCAGACAAAAAAACTCTCAAATGATAATATGTCATGAACACTTTTCCCCCCTCCCTCTATCTATGTAATTTTTTAGGGTTTTTACACTTTATATCTAAATAGCTTTGTGTGGCCTCCCTTACATTTTTGGATAGTTTATACTGCCAGGGTAGGATGAAGTCTCTTATGACATCCCCCATCTCTTCAGTTCCATAATTGTGTTTCTGAAGGACTGTATCTAAATGGATTAATTCAGTCTGGTGCATTTCAGTCAGTCATAAGTTCTTGTTCTCATTCAATCAAAATTCTTTTGATTAGCACTCTGGCTGCCTTTTCTGTAGTGTTTGAGAAATTTCTGAGTAATCTTTCATTTCACTTGTATTGATTTAATTTTTATGAAGCCTTCTCCTTTTCGACTGACTATAAGATTAGATGCTAAGAGGTGGTATATTAATTTAGGTGGAGTTGTGCTTACTTGGCACTTAGACCTTTGTCTACTATGACTCTGTATAAAGCTGCCTAAAGTTTTTGGGGTTTTATTTGCGTTGCACATCTTCCTGGCCTTGACACATATCTTCCTTCTCGTCTTTGGTATTAAAGAGCCCCTGTTGTGACAAGGCTTCTGACTTGGGAGTCAGGGCCCAGGGAGTTGCCAAAAATTGGGCAGGATTAATCTGGATCTTGGACTATCCCACAAGGGCAAAATACTGAAAGGACATGCTCTGTGCAACAGTGCTGTTAGAGAAGCCTTACTTGGGGTTCCCAGAATGAAGGTGGTTTGTGTTGTTTCTTCAGAGCCTTCGAATCAGTCGTTCAGCTGGTGTAAGGTGGAGGCTGTGGCCATGAAGCCTGGCTTGGTGAACGTGGTTAAAGATCTTTCTCCTCCTCCTCCTCTTGTGGTCATGTCGCTCAGCATGAAGACCACTCAGAACCCAAAGACTCACCAGAATGAGGTAAGTTATCTGCTCTCGTTTTGGTTTGGTTTCATTCTAAAGAATTTTTAAGGCTCAGAAGAACTTAATCTGATGAAACATGTCTAAATGTGTTTACTGTTGAATAAACTGCCTGTGCTGTGGGCTTTTCAAAGGAATTTTTACTGAGGTTTCACCAGCATGAGCACTGTGGGTTCAGAGGCCCTCTTTGGTGAGAATATTCACTGCCACAGTGGATCCCATATAATGATTTCAAGCCTTCTATTTTGTCTGTTGTGCATAATAGTTATAAATGAAACTGTCCCAGAACACTTGTTAATGGATTATTATTTTTTTTTTGGTAGAGCTAATCATAGGTTCTGGGTAAAATGACCAGGTTTTTCTGCTTATAAAGCTCACTTTGAAATAGAATGGGAATTTAATGTAAAACTTACAACACCTACTATTCCGCTGTGAGATCTTTTCTCAGAAAGGAAGTAGACATGTAGGTGGCCACTCTCAGTTGGGGAATGCAGACCACAGCGTGTAGTTAGGTACATTTATCTGGTTTTCAACATAACTCTCCCTAGCGTAGGAAGAGTTACCTAGTAGGGTAGGACAATTGATTCTGGATGACTGAATGGAAGAATAATTAGGTTGAGAATGTTTTCAAGCAGAATTAGTCCTCCTGGTGAAGTTAAAGTTTGGGAGGAGTATGGAAAATTCCTGGTTTCTAGTCCACATTGAGATGTACACCAGCTACCAACAGAACTCTGTTTGCCAAGATGTGTCTAAAGCCTGTCTGCTTCGTCTTCTGTTGGGTTGTCCTGATGGGTGTGTAGGGAGCCAGGACATCCTGCCTGCAAAGCAAGCAAAAGCATCAGTAAAGCAATAGCTTCTAAATGCTAAAACCTCTTGGCTTGAAGGAGAGGTGCCATGCTGGACCTTGTTCTCACCCACAAGGATGGGCCTGCTGGGGAGTGCAAACCCCGATGGCCGCTTTGGCTGCAGTAACCATGAAATGGCAGAGTTCAGGATCCTTAGGGCAGCAAGAATGGTGCACAGCAAGCTCACTACCCTAGACTTAGGGAGAGCAGACTTTGACTTCTTTAGGGATCTGCGTGGTAGAGTAACGTGGGATGAAGCCCTGGAGGAAAGAGGGGCTTAAGAAACCCGGTTAGTATTCAAGGATCACCTCCTACAAGCTCAGGAGCGATGAGTCCCAACAAAGAGTAAGTCAGGCAAAAATGCCAGGAGGCCAGTGTGGATGAACAGGGAGCTCCTGGATGAACTCAAAACACAAAACAGAAGCCTACAGTGGGTGGAAGTAAGGACAGATAGCCTGAGATGAATACAGAGAGACTGTCAGAGCAGCCAGGGATCATGTTAGAAAAGCTAAAGCCCTGATAGAGTTAAATTTGGCCAGGGACATCAAGGGCAACAAGAAAAGCTTCTAAAGGTAGATCAGTGCCAAAATGAAGACTAAGGAAAATGTAGGCCCTCTCTGGAAGGAAACAGGAGAGCTGGGCCCCTGGGCTGTGGAGAAGGCTGAGGTACTTTTTTATCTCATTCTTCACTGGCAAGTGAAGCCACACGGCCCAAGTCACAGAAGGCAAAGGCCTTGGAGAACAAAGAACTCCCTGCTGTAGGAAGACACTAGCTTCGAGACATTATATGGAACCTGAAGGTGCACAAGTCCGTGGGATCTGATGACATGCCTCTACGGGTCCTGAAACTGGCAGACGTAATTGCCAAGCCACTGTCCGTCATATTTGAGAAGTCATGGAAAATAGGAGGACCTGGGGAACTACCACACAGTCAGTCTCACCTCTCTGCTCAGCAAGATAAGGGAGCCAGATCCTCTGGGAAACTATGCTAAGGCACATGGAAAATACAGAGGTGATTGGTGACAGCCAACATGGCTTCACTAAGGGCAAATCATGCCTGACAAATTTGGTGGCCTTCTACAGTAGGGTTTCAGTGCTGGTGGATAAGGGAAGAGCAACTGATATCACCTACTTGGACTTGTGCAAAGCTTTAGACACTGTCCTGCGTGACATCCTTGTCTCTAAATTGGAGAGGCATGGATTTGAAGGATTGCCCACTCAGTAGATGAAGAACTGGCTTAATGGCTGCACTCAGAGTGTTGTGGTCAACGTTTCAATGTCTGAGTGGAGATCAGTGA